AAGCCCTACTATTGGGGGGTACCCTTAGGTCCTCAAGCCCTACTATTAGGGGGTACCCTTAGGTCCTCAAGCCCTACTATTAGAGGGTACCCTTAGGTCCTCAAGCCCTACTATTGGGGGGTACCCTTAGGTCCTCAAGCCCTACTATTAGGGGGTACCCTTAGGTCCTCAAGCCCTACTATTAGAGGGTACCCTTAGGTCCTCAAGCCCTACTATTGGGGGTACCCTTAGGTCCTCAAGCCCTACTATTAGGGGGTACCCTTAGGTCCTCCAGTGCTACTATTAGGGGTACCCTTAGGTCCTCAAGCCCTACTATTAGGGGGTACCCTTGAGTCCTCAAGTCCTACTATTCGGGGTACCCTTAGGTCCTCCACTCCCACTATTAGGGGTACTCTTAGGTCCTCATGCCCTTCTATTGGGGGTAACTTTAGGTGCTCAAGACCTACCAGTAGGGGGTACCCTAAGGTCCTCAGGTTCTACTATTAGGGGTACCCTTATGTCGTCAAACCCTACTATTAGGGGATACACTTAGGTTCTCCAGTCCTACTATTGGGGACCCTTAGGTCCTCCAGTCCTACTATTGGGGGTACCTTTAGGTCCTCAAGCCCTCTTATTAGGGGGTACCCTTTGATCCTCCAGTCCTACTGTTCATGGGACCCTTAGGTCCTCAAGGCCTACTATTAGGGGGTACTCTTCAGGCCTCCAGTACTACAATTGAGACGGACCCTTGGGTCCTCAAGTCCTACTATAGGGGGGTACACTTGGGTCTGCAAGTCCTACTATTGGGGGTACCCTTAGTGCCTGAAGCCCTAGTATTGGGAGGTACCCTGGGGTCCTCAAGTCCTAGGATTGGGATACCCGCCAATAGTAGGACTAGAGGACCTACGGGTACCACGCAATAGTAGTGCTGGAGGACTCAAGGGTACCCTCTACTAGTAGGGTTTGAACGCCTAAGGGTACCCCAATTGTAGGAGTGGAGGACCTGGGAAAATGACATCTCGTCTCACCCCATTTTTACGACCTCCTGGTGAATTAGTGTGCTTACGATCCCCGAACTTGAAGAAAATGTCATGGTGTTCGGAATGGAGTTCGTAAATGAAATACAACAGAAATACAGGGTGTTCGGAATGAAGCCTGTGCAGGAGTTCAGAATCAATTTTTACAATAGCTTTTTCAACGATTATAACCATTGAAAAAGCTATTTTCAGAATTGATTCTGAACTCCATATAAATTTTTCTCTTTACGACCATCAAAATTTGGCTGAAGATCGGAATCCGAGTGTCCGGATGGTCGTAATGACGAAGACATGAGGGTCGTAATAAAAAAAACGACACAATTGTCGTAAGTATGTTTAGTTTTGTTCACGTGTGAGAGAATATGAAGTGATATGCTAGTCTCGCAATCTAAAATCATGTATAGAGAACGCTTCGATGAATTCAAGCAATCAAGGTTGTGCTTCTGTTCACTATTATAATTCTAGTGTTAGTTACTATTCTCCTAATTCCTTCAATACACTCTATTACAAATGTCAGTTTTATTGAAAGAAAAGATATACATGTTTATTCATAACTCTAGTGTTAATGTACATCATCGCTCCATTCATGCTTTGATGGATGTCTACGCTTCTTGACTCTAGCTATTTGTTTATTCTTCGATGTTGTAGCAGTGTGACATTGTTGAGAAGACGATGTGGAAGAGGACGACGAAGTAAAGTTAGACTGCAACAAGAAAAAAGATTCTATTCATTTGAATCATTTTCTAGAAATAAGCAATAAAAGAAAACCAACCCACTTCTTTATCATAGTATATTTTCCAAATGTATACTTTTCACTTCTCTATGCAGGGTCAGTCTGATTTATCTTTACTGGCCATTTACTTGTGTAGCCAATCATATTTGAAAGTAGACACTGTCCTTTTTTACTTTATAGTATATTTTATTTTCACCTGAACTGTTGACACAACTTGGTATCATGAATCGATTAAAAGACGAATATTAGAAACAACTTCTAAAACTGGAGCATAGAGAGTATAGGTAAAGAAAGAATAATCTCCTACTCATATAATTATGAAAGTAATCAAAAATGCGATTTATTATTGTCTATAAAAACAGAAACTCCTTATATCACTTACAATTTTCTGATAAATTCTTTTCCGAACTCCATGTTAAAGTCCTCTGAGAATTACTTTCCGAACATCCGACCGTGCTCATTCCGATCTTCAGGTATTACATAAAATACAGCAAAAAATACTCTATTTCGAACACCCGGTAAACACATTACGATCTTCCTGCTGTCTCTTACGACCTCCGGTACATAGGTGTTTACGAACTACCGTCATAAATTTCTACGAAAAAAATCATCTCCGAACACTCGGTAACATTTCCCGGTGTTCGTAAGAAGTGAGACGAAACGTAAGTCACCCGAGGACCTAAGGGTACCCCTAATAGTAGGGCTTGAGGACCCAAGGGTACCCCCCCCCCCCAAGAGGGGGGGGAGGAGGAAGTGCCCCCCCCCCCCCCCCCCCGAATAGTAGGGCTTGAGCACCTAACAGTACCTCCTAATAGCAGGGCTTGAAGACCTAAGGGTACTTCCCAATAGTAGTACTGGAGGAGTCAAGGGTACTCCCAATAGTAGGGCTTGAGGACCTAAGCGTATCCCCAATAGTAGGACTGGAGGGCCTAAGACTACCCCCTAATAGTAGAACCGGAGGATCTAAGGGTACCCCGTAATAGTACGGGTTGACGACCTAAGGGTACCCCCAATACTAGGACTGGAGGACCTAAGCGTACCCTCAATAGTAGGACTGGAGGGCCAAAGAGTACCCCCTAATAGTAGAACTGGAGGACCAAAGGTTACCCCCTACTAGTAGGGCTTGAGGACCTAAGGGTATCCCCCAATAGTAGGACTGGAGGACTTAAGGGTACCCCCGAATAGTAGGGCTTGAGGACCTAAGGGTATCCCCGAATAGTAGGACTGGAGGACCTAAGGGTACCCCCCAATAGTAGGACTGGAGCACCTAAGGGTATCCCCCAATAGTAGTACTGGAGGAGTCAAGGGTACTCCCAATAGTAGGGCTTGAGGACCTAAGCGTACCCCCAATAGTAGGACTGGAGGGCCTAAGAGTACCACCTTATAGTAGAACTGGAGGATCTAAGGGTACCCCCAATAGTAGGGCTTGAGGACCTAAGGGTACCCCCCAATAGTAGGGCTTGAGGACCTAAGGGTATCCCCCAATAGTAGGACTGGAGGACCTAAGGGTATCCCCTAGTAGTAGGGCTTGAGGACCTAAGGGTACCCCTTATAGTAGGGCTTGAGGATCTAAGGGTACCCCCAACAGTAGGACTGGAGGGCCTAAGAGTACCCCCTAATAGTAGAACTGGAGGACCTAAGGGTACCCCTTATAGTAGGGCTTGAGGACCTAAGGGTGTCCCCCAATAGTAGGACTGGAGGACCTAAGGGTACCCCCTTATAGTAGGGCTTGAGGACCTAAGGGTATCTCCCAATAGTAGGACTGGAGGACCGAAGGGTATCCCCCAATAGTAGGGCTTGAGGACCTAAGGGTACCCCCTTATAGTAGGGCTTGAGGACCTAAGGGTATCCCCCAATAGTAGGACTGGAGGACCTAAGGGTACCCCCCAATAGTAGGGCGTGAGGACCTAAGGGTATCCCCCAATAGTAGGACTGGAGGACCTAAGGGTACCCCCGAATAGTAGGGCTTGAGGACCTAAGGGTACCCCCTTATAGTAGGGCTTGAGGACCTAAGGGTACCCCCCAATAGTAGGACTGGAGGACCTAAGGGTACCCCCCAATGGTAGGGCTTGAGGACCTAAGGGTACCCCTTAATGGTAGGGCTTGAGGACCCAAGGGTACCTGTATAGTATGGCCAAATCCAAATGGTTTGGGTCGTTGAGCTCTAATTCTAAAACAAATCCAAACCAAATCCAAACCTTGAGTATCAAATCCAAATCGAAAACCAAGCAGTGGATAACAAATCCAAACCAAATCCAAACACCACGTATCAAATCCAAATCCAGACCAAGACCAAATCCAAATCTTATTTCGAATCCAAATCCCTAATACCAAATCCCAAGTACTCGGGTTTGTTGCATCCCTAGGCGAGTTCCGGAACGGTTTTGCTTGAAAACCACGATTTTTAAGTATAGTGGGGTTTTGTGGGAGATGAAAGTACTCACAATACCTTAAAACGTGAGCATTGGACAGAGCTCGTTGAGTTATATCTACCTATTTCATTTTCATTTTTTTCGTCACAGCTGTGTGCAAATTCCGGAACGTTTCTGCGGAAAAAACCAGTATTTCTCAGTATACTGGGGTTTTAGGGAGGATTGAAGTACTTGGAATAGGTTAAAAGGTGACCATTGGATAGAGCTCATCGAGTTCTATCCACCTATGTCATTTTAAGGTTTTGGTCCCAGCTGTGGGCGGATCCCGGAGGAGTTTTGCGGTAAAAACCAGTATTTCTGAGTATATTCGGGTTTTGTGGGGATGGAAGCACTTAGAATACCTGAAAAGGTGGGGATTGGATAGAGCTCATCGAGTTCTATGTAGCTATGTCAAGTTCATGTTTTCATCGCTGCTGTGGGCAAATTCCGGAAGGGTTCTGCGGGAAAAACCAAGTTTTCTGAGTATATTTTGT